ACATCCAACAGATCATAAGCAGAGGTGCGTTTACTATAACTGCCCATTAAATTGATAATTTTGTGCGACATTCTTTATCATAATTTGAAGATTTCATTTCAGAAATTTTGTAATATATGCCATGTGTTCAGCATAACTTTCAACATATTTTAATCGTTATTATGATGACATATATGTATATGGGAGGATATGTGCAACTTCTTTTTCTGTCCATTTGTATTGCTTATTTCGAATATCGATGAGCATTGGAGATAAATAAAGGTTAATTCGATACCACATGTCAATCACACAAAACAGAAAGAAACCTGTTGATGTGAGCCTTTGTAGTAGAATTGGTGTTACATCAAGTAATACAGATTTCTGTGTAGGTTCAACACGCTGTGTGAATGAGAGACTGAAGACTCCTGTAACTCCACGAGATCTCGGACTTGTTGCGAGACATATCGGGATGGGATTTGAGCACGTCGGGATTGAACTTGGGCTCAGCGTTGTGGCTATCCAACAGGGCAGAGTTGCACACCCATCTTCAATGTATATGCAGATCTTGATTATGCTCACTAAATGGAAGCAGTGGAATGGCAGTTCGGCCACCTATCTGGACCTGGTCAAAGCACTATGGACATGTAAAGAGAGATGCACGATCGAATGGGAGGACATTCTCAACATCCTGCAGTGACGGCCCTCCTTCTCAGTGTAATTGCACCTCGGTCGGAGAAATATTACAAGAAATGAAACTTTGTTTTTATCATTTCGAACATGACTATCGTCATGCCTTTTAACCTTCTTCAGAGATATTGTAATCTCACCTCTACTTTACAGCGATCAGTAAACAGGGGGCATATCATCAGTCATCATGTTTGGAAAATAAACATATTTATCAAATCACTGTTTCTTTGTGTTTTCTGCATTTGCAAGTTTACCCCAAGAACACGTGGAGTCAGATTGTACCAATGGCGGCTCCTACCGGTTGGGCAGGACATGCGTGCACTTTCACAAGACATGGTGTCATCAGTGATTTTCAGTAATCCATTCCTATAGTTTTCCCCGCTATTTTGCCTTTTATGCGCAATGGAATCTGTTTCGGTGGATATCCAAGACTGGTTATTCTCTGGCGCTGACATTTTATATTTATTGAATTTAGAATGCTACGGATTCGATTTTACATGTGAAATATCTCCCGTAAATAATGACAGTTCATAGTGATGCTTTTAATAAATTCATGATCGTAAAATGGAGTCTGCTTACCACAGAGATTTCTTGTGATTATGAAAAGGGTTTTGTCGCTCTTATCCATACAAACATCTCTGACGAATTCAAATACCTCCACCTCACAGTGATAGCAAAGATTAATTACTCAGAAATTCAAATACTTTCTAAATTAAATGGAATAAAAAACTGATTATTCAAGTCAGTAATCAGAACATATTCGTAATTCGTAGTTCGATCACAGTGCTATACAACCTTCATATTGTACATCGTTTCAAATATTCAAACCGTCCCTCTGTTTATATCACTAGACATAGCATAAGTAAGCGTATACGTTTTCTCTCCCTTTCTCACAACCTGAACAATAGGTAACAGGTACAATGGTTGTGGTGATCAAAAGATCAAAATTTCATGTACATGAGGTGAAGAACAAATTTGCTTCATGGTATGATTTAAAACAGGAAAATACTATTTCAATTCTGGAAAATGAGTTCAACAACAAAACAGAACATTTAAAGCCGTTCAAACATCAGTGCACTTCATTTCATTATACCTTGCGTCATTATGACGTACATTTGCCACATTCAGACACAAAGTCATTTAAGCCCAGTACGAACAGCTACAGGTGATGCCTCTATTGACAATACGCCCGTCAGCTTTTTACCCACAGTATCCAGGTTTCGTCAGGATAACTTCCGTATCAAATGCTATAATATCTGAAAACAGAGTTGCCTCCCTTTGACCGGTACCAGCTACCATAAACGTGGTATGCATTATTCAACCTTTTCTATCCCTGGCATTGTCTACAACTGACTTTGATAAGACAGGATAATGTTTGTAACGGCGGTGGCAGTACGGCTTACGATAACATGTAATAGTATTCCAGTTATATCACGGCGTGGCAGCTTAATGTGAGAGGAAAGCCCAAGTGATGAAGGTCTCAGACGTTTACCACTTCGGTGAAACCCAAGAGCACGGGTAGGGTGCTGACAATCCTAGAAACATAAACTGGGCGAACATTGATTCGAACCCACAATTAAAGGTCTCTGGCGTGCCCAAGGGACGCAACTCTGCACAGCGAATCACGGCGCCTTAGACGGCTGGGCCACTCGTACCCCGAAAATCTTCAGACCTGACTTCACAAACAATATTCAGTATACTCGTGCCGAGCATAAATAAGGAGGCATTTTTTATTTTTTTCCCTTATTTGATTCATTCTCTGTAGAGGTGAGGCAAGGCAAAATGAGGTTTGAGGTTTAACGTTGCGTTCAAGAATATTGCACTTATATGAGGTGACGTGCATGCACGCGTATGTGTACATGTATGTGTGTCTGCTCATGTCGTTTTTACCGAACAAGCCACTGATACACCATGCCGAAGTTTTAACATGAATACCCCACTCTGACACAGTAAACTGACCACAAATGGACCAGTCTTATCCCCTTAATGCTGAGCGCCAGGCGGGGTAACAAGACCACCACAATTAAACGTTACTGGGCAGATACTCTCTCCCTTTACGCAAATGCTTAAGGAAGTTCAGGTGTGGTATACATACCCTCAATATACAATTATACAGACACTCCAAAGATAATGATGTTTTAACATCGACGTGTCCTTTATGCAAATATAACCAAGAAAATGAATACCATGTTTTATTGATATGTCCAGTATATGAGGATATAAGAATCAATACCTGCCTAACTACGTATCCATCACAAAGAACATTTGTACAGTTAATGAACAGCAAAATAACTACTTTCTTCTCAGATTTGCAGTTTGGGTTTTAAAAGATATTTGAAAGAAGGATAATACATTGAATATTAATAAAACTGTGTACACTATATTTAGCTACAATCTAATCAGTATACAAGTGGTGCTTCACGACGAATTGTTTTAAAACAAAATGTCATTGTGCTATTGGCCTCATGGCCACACATACGAAATAAGTCTGTCTGATACTCTATCCATACGACAATAGAGGCCGTCTAGCCCACTTTATTTCAGAGGAAGGTATTTACAAATGCAGTGGTGTATGATGACAATTCTAGCAGGCTGTCTACCTGTATACATATTCAGATATATACTCATAAAGGAACAATCGGACCCAATTGCCTCGAACTCCTGGGGACCAAAGAAATAGTTCGACTTATCCGAACTATTTGAATTCGACCTGGATCTTGATAAGGTTTGGGGACTTTAAATTGAACTCAAAACACCCATGTCGAGCATTCAGGTAACAATACTATAAATATGGTAAGATTTTGGACTGTGATTTCGCCAGGACCCTGGAATCGGCACATCCGAGTTCAAGACATCGGGGTTCGACTGTATATGTACGTCTGCATAATATCATAAGGGTTTTCATATGTTTGTCACATGAATGAAACTGGTGACATTTTAGAAATTAACAGTAATCGTTACTGTATGTTTATACTGTATGGCACAGTGTTACGAGGGGATTTCCGCGAAGGTTTACTTAGAAAACGGTTCAAACTATATTGCCAAATCAGTAAATCAGCAGAAATTATAAATGAATAAAAAAACAACTTCTATATTGAAAAACATAATTGTAGGTCTACAGTCACAAAGGGGTTATACAATGGGTCAACTATGGGCAATACATAACAGGCCATTTAACTAGTGCAGCACTAACAAGAGTTATCTGATGATAAAAGTATATAAATTACACCATGTATGTTAGTACAATAGTGCTTCCAACATCAATTGCTCCTTAGATACGTTTTCAGATACAATGTTTATAATAAAAACGATATCTTACGGGGATTCGTTCAGTGATCTATCACATAATGTCACATAAGAATATGTCAGATATCATAGAAGAATGTAATACCGGTTGGTTTTCCCCATGACTATAAAGTCTGTATTTGTTTAAGGGACACAGCTCAAAGAATTCTATTTGATCTTAGCATTTTCATGTGTGCCAAGACATCATGGAAATTAATTGGATAAATTGCTTTGAAATAAAACAATCATTATATTCCTGAATATGAGAAACATACTTTAAAGTCTATATTGCATGTACAACAGGTTACATGGCTTCGTATTGAGAGTGAGACTTCACAACTCTGACACTGGAAATGGTGCAGAAACAAATCAAAGTGACAAGACCGACAATGATAGAAAGACACCCACGTGTTCCTGCAAGTACATATTTTACACAGTGACATGTAGCTGCAAACATTCATTGTGTACGTCAAGCTGAACTCACTCCCACTAATTTCAACAAAATACTTTGCTTTAAGAAAGTTTGGAACACACTGAAATCTGCATATGTCCAGTTATAAACATTTGTAAGAAACTGTTATGTTATCTGCTAAACATTAAAGTTAGCCATGTTACTAGAATTTGTAAAGTACAATGGGTTTTTATGGAATCGAAATGCATACAGAAACGTCAAAACTACATGGGTTCGAATCCAGGTTCGCCCAGATTATGTTCCTAGGTTTGTAAACACCATACCCGTGCTCTTGGGTTTCACCGAAGTGATAAACGCCTGAGACCGCCATCACTTCGGGCTTTCCTCCCACATTAAGCTGAAACGCCGTGATATTACTGGAATACTGTTAAAAGCCGCAGCGTTAAATCCAATTACACACTCACTCAATTCAACTTAAAACAATACAGGAAAGTTCGGTACACACTGAAATGTGCATATGCCCAGTTAGGAACATTTGAAAGAATCTATTATGTAATCCTCTAAGCAACATAAAGGATTTTTTCGTCAGGAAGTTAGCTTAGTCCTAGCATTTGTAGAGTAAAATGGTTTTTTTTTATGGAATTGATATGCTTACCGAAACATCAATGCTACATCGACACAAATTACAAATAACTCGTTATTTTCTGCAAACCAAATTCGGACGACTGACTCCGAATGGAGGTTGTAAAACTGTTTATGTATACTGAAACACTGGACACCATAATAACAATGATAACTCCTTTCTAGACCACTTTTAGAGCTGCTGCAGCTCTATCATTTCCCCAGACTCAGTGTAGTGAATGATGACATTCTCAGAATTACTAGTGGCATCTGAACTAGGCAATGTGTCACCAACTACTGGAGCATGGACATAGGTGGGAACATGACTTGAGATTCCATATATGGTTTCTGATCTTTGATTGGGTGAACGTATCTCCAAGCGTGCAGGATCTGTAAGGAGGTTGTTAAGATTTCCGTCTATATGATATGGTTGGGATGACTTCAAGGCGATGTATCTCTCTTCCATAACACTTTGTCTGTCTGTGGAAACTGCCTGTCCTAGTTGGCCCGGAACATACACCCCTGGCAGTTCTACTGATGTCTGGTTCACTGGGCACGTTGATGTTAGTGGTGTGGATGTAAGCCAACCGCCATTGTTATAGCTTCCGTGTGGAATTGACGATGATTTCATAAGAAACTGGCCATCGGTTGTCACCCTGAAACAATATCACATGCACTTGACACAGTAATTCAGAGAAAATAGGACTTAATCAAAATAATGATGCTATTGTGATATATAATACAAAATCAAGATGTAAAAGGTTCCAGCGAAATCATTCAATAGTATACACAGTGAAGCCTAATTAAGTTCAAATATTGGTTAACATAATTTTAGCGTTTTTGCAAAGTCCCCATTGACATATGTAGCCCATGGAAAATAAGGTTTCACTTGGAACAAATAGCAATAGAGTTCATCTCACCACAATGCATGTCTACAAGGTCCCCAAAACAACATACTTAAAGTCCCAAGCAATCCCAGTTTGGGAAATATGTCTAATTTACATAAGTTTAGACTGTTGAAGCTTTTATCTCTGAAACAGTGTGCTGGGACGTATTTGCATAAAACTTGTCACACTAACTGACTGGCCCAAAATTCCAAGATGACCTCCAAGACATGGAGAGACATTCAATATCAATACACTGTTGGTCTCTCATGACATATTTGATTGATTGATTTGGGACTTTTAGTATGTTGTTTGGGGGGCCTTGTAGAAATGCTCTGTCTATATTCTTAGATAAATGATAGATATTTTGATAAATGTCTGATGGTACTGTCCTCTTCGAGGTCTCATATGGTTTCGTGAGATTTCAAAACTGTTCTGCAAAACAGCGTATACAATATATGTGTTTGGGCTGTCAACTCAAGCATGATTTCCACATTGCTCTTACTTATCTATAATTGTACCATGGTTGGTTGTCAGGTCATGTAAAGTTGTTGCCTCAGTTATAATCCTTGCGATATCATCGTGATGTTGCGCCTCTGCTTTTTGTAAAGCAGTTTCTTCTTTATCGTCTTTCTCATAAACATTTGCCTTGTTCTGTAATAACAACTCCACAACCTTCCTATGTCCCTGCCAGGCTGCATCATGTAGAGGTGTGCTGCCATCTTGACGTTTCTCATCCAAATTGGCCTTGTTCTGTAATAACACCTCCACAACCACCCGATGTCCCTGGTAGGCTGCAAGATGTAGAGGTGTGCTGCCATCTTGACGTTTCTCATCCACATTTGCCTTGTTCTGTAATAACACCTCCACAACCACCCGATGTCCTTGCCAGGCTGCACGATGTAGAGGTGTGCGGCCTTCCTTATCTTTCTCATCCACATTTGCCTTGTTCTGTAATAACAACTCCACAACCTCCCTATGTGCGTGGGAGGCTGCACGATGTAGAGGTGTGCGGCCTTCCTTATCTTTCTCATCCACATTTGCCTTGTTCTGTAATAACAACTCCACAACGATCCAATGTCCCTGGTAGGCTGCAAGATGTAGAGGTGTGCTGCCACCTTCACGTTTCTCATCCACATTTGCCTTGTTCTGTAAAAACACCTCCACAACCACCCGATGTCCTTGCCAGGCTGCACGATGTAGAGGTGTGCGGCCTTCCTTATCTTTCTCATCCACATTTGCCTTGTTCTGTAATAACAACTCCACAACCTCCCTATGTCCGTGGGAGGCTGCAAGATGTAGAGGTGTGTGGCCTTCCTTATCTTTCCCATCCACATTTGCCTTGTTCTGTAATAACACCTCCACAACCTCCCTGTGTCCCTGCCTGGCTGCATCATGTAAAGGTGTGCGGCCATCATCACGTTTGTCATCCACATTTGCCTTGTTCCGTAATAACACATCCACAACCACCCGATGTCCTTGCCAGGCTGCACGATGTACAGGGGTGCGGCCTTCCTTATCTTTCTCATCCACATTTGCCTTGTTCTGTAATAACAACTCCACAACCTCCCTATGTCCGTGGGAGGCTGCAAGATGTAGAGGTGTGCGGCCTTCCTTATCTTTCCCATCCACATTTGCCTTGTTCTGTAATAACACCTCCACAACCTCCCTGTGTCCCTGCCTGGCTGCATCATGTAAAGGTGTGCGGCCATCATCACGTTTGTCATCCACATTTGCCTTGTTCCGTAATAACACATCCACAACCACCCGATGTCCTTGCCAGGCTGCACGATGTAGAGGTGTGCGGCCTTCCTTATCTTTCTCATCCACATTTGCCTTGTTCTGTAATAACAACTCCACAACGATCCAATGTCCCTGGTAGGCTGCAAGATGTAGAGGTGTGCTGCCACCTTCACGTTTCTCATCCACATTTGCCTTGTTCTGTAAAAACACCTCCACAACCACCCGATGTCCTTGCCAGGCTGCACGATGTAGAGGTGTGCGGCCTTCCTTATCTTTCTCATCCACATTTGCCTTGTTCTGTAATAACAACTCCACAACCTCCCTATGTCCGTGGGAGGCTGCAAGATGTAGAGGTGTGTGGCCTTCCTTATCTTTCCCATCCACATTTGCCTTGTTCTGTAATAACACCTCCACAACCTCCCTGTGTCCCTGCCTGGCTGCATCATGTAAAGGTGTGCGGCCATCATCACGTTTGTCATCCACATTTGCCTTGTTCCGTAATAACACATCCACAACCACCCGATGTCCTTGCCAGGCTGCACGATGTACAGGGGTGCGGCCTTCCTTATCTTTCTCATCCACATTTGCCTTGTTCTGTAATAACAACTCCACAACCTCCCTATGTCCGTGGGAGGCTGCAAGATGTAGAGGTGTGCGGCCTTCCTTATCTTTCCCATCCACATTTGCCTTGTTCTGTAATAACACCTCCACAACCTCCCTGTGTCCCTGCCTGGCTGCATCATGTAAAGGTGTGCGGCCATCATCACGTTTGTCATCCACATTTGCCTTGTTCCGTAATAACACATCCACAACCACCCGATGTCCTTGCCAGGCTGCACGATGTAGAGGTGTGCGGCCTTCCTTATCTTTCTCATCCACATTTGCCTTGTTCTGTAATAACAACTCCACAACCTCCCTATGTCCGTGGGAGGCTGCAAGATGTAGAGGTGTGCTGCCTTCTTGATGTTTCTCATCCACATTTGCCTTGTTCTGTAATAACAACTCCACAACCTCCCTATGTCCCTGGTAGGCTGCACGATGTAGAGGTGTGGTGCCATCATTACGTTTCTCATTCACATTTGCCTTGTTCTGTAATAACACCTCCACAACCTCCCTATGTCCCCGGTAGGCTGCATCATGTAGAGATGTGCGGCCATCATCACGTTTGTCATCCACATTTGCCTTGTTCCGTAATAACACATCCACAACCTCCCTGTGTCCCTGCCAGGCTGCATCATGTAGAGGTGTGCGGCCTTCCTTATCTTTCTTATCTACATTTGTCTTGTTCTGTAATAACACCTCCACAACCTCCCTGTGTCCCTGGTTGGCTGCATGATGTAGAGGTGTGCGGCCACCATTACGTTTTTCATTCACATTTGCCTTGTTCTGTAATAACAACTCCACAACCTCCCTATGTCCCCGGTAGCCTGCATCATGTAGAGATGTGCTGCCATCTTGACGTTTCTCATCCACATTTGCCTTGTTCTGTAGTAACAACTCCACAACATCCCTATGTCCGTGGGAGGCTGCAAGATGTAGAGGTGTGCGGCCATCATCACGTTTGTCATCCACATTTGCCTTGTTCTGTAATAACACATCCACAGCCTCCCTGTGTCCCTGCCAGGCTGCATCATGTAGAGGTGTGCGGCCTTCCTTATCTTTCTCATATGCATTTGTCTTGTTCTGTAATAACACCTCCACAACCTCCCTGTGTCCGTGGTAGGCCACATGATGTAGAGGTGAGCGGCCATCATTACGTTTCTCATTCACATTTGCCTTGTTCTGTAATAACACCTCCACAACCTCCCTATGTCCCTGGTAGGCTGCAAGATGTAGAGATGTGCTGCCTTCTTGATGTTTCTCATCCACATTTGCCTTGTTCTGTAATAACACCTCCACAATCTCCCGATGTCCCTGGTAGGCTGCATTATGTAGAGGTGTGCAGCCATCATTACGTTTCTCATGCACATTTGCCTTGTTCTGTAATAACACCTCCACAACCTCCCTATGTCCCTGGTAGGCTGCAAGATGTAGAGGTGTGCTGCCTTCTTGATCTTTCTCATCCATATTTGCCTTGTTCTGTAATAACACCTCCACAACCTCCCTATGTCCCTGCCAGGATGCATCATGTAGAGGTGTGCTGCCTTCTTGATGTTTCTCATCCACATTTGCCTTGTTCTGTAATAACACCTCCACAACCTCTCTATGTCCCTGCAAGGCTGCATCATGTAGAGGTGTGCTGCCATCTCGACGTTTCTCATTCACATTTGCCTTGTTCAGTAATAACTGCTCCACAACCTCCTTATGTCCCTGACGTCGCTATATAAGTGCAATAATCTTGGACGCGACGTTAAACCCCATTTCACCTCACCTCACCTTATGTCCCTGCCAGGATGCATCATGTAGAGGTGTGCGGCCTTCCTTATCTTTCTCATCCACATTTGTCTTGTTCTGTAATAACACCTCCACAACCTCCCTATGTCCCTGCCTGGATGCATCATGTAGAGGTGTGCGGCCAGCATTATCTTTCACATGAATTATTCCCTTGTTCTTTAATAACATTGTAACAACTTCTGCGTTTCCATATATACATGCCAAATGAAGCCCAGTTTCACCCTTCTTGTTTTGCTCACCAATGTCCACTACTTCCTGTAACAGATAGCTTACAATGCTAACATTTCCAACTGCACATGCGTAATGTAAAGGTGTTGATCCTTCAGGGCCTTTTATATTGACATTCAGTTTTCCAATTTTTGTACTTGTATCCATGGTATCTTTGCCCTTTAGGCACAAGGATGCAAAATGTACATATGTATTCTTTCTTGACCTGTTTTTCTTCTTGCTCATCTTTATCAAATGTGACAATCTGGAAGCCACTGCAGACAACCCACCCATACAGGCAATGTCCAAAAGTGAACATTTACCAAACTTTTCTCCCAGATCATCTGCAACTGCCAACTGCAGTTTAATGATAAGAGGTCTTGGGAGTTTGGGTAGTGTCATCCACAACTTATCCAACTTCCAGTTTTTATTGGAAAACAAGTAATCGAAGTTGGCCAAACTATTCCCAAAGCAACTTCCAAACAAAGCTTCCTTTCTGTTCTCTGCATTCAATTGAACACTGAACAATGCTCTCCTCAACAAATGTGAGTTGTCTGTGATGCTCGCCCAAAACAGAAAGGAATATCCATGTACAATGTCATTATTTGACAATACTTTCAACAGTACAGAACTGTCCTTGTTCATATTATGCAACAATTTCTCCCAAACCATATCAACAAATGTCTCTACCTGGAATAGGGAATGCATGCACACAAAGGCAAACTTTCTGCCGTGTAAAGCTGTAGCAAACCGCTTCGCTACAATATGCAGATCATCATGTTTCAATTCGAGGTTGAAAGACACATTTAGTTGTTCCTCTTCAGTTGGATCATCTCTAAATGTCACATAACGAAATATGAACTCGAGATCCATCCTTTCAACCAACTGCCTAACATCACGTAGCAGTATTTCTCTTAGCTTTATTGCTACTTTATGATTTCTTATTCTATATGAGCCTGCTTCATGATGGAGACAGCATCCCGTTAATTGGGATAAAATAGGTTTCATCACATTTTCAGTGTATTCTTTTTCATTGATGTCAAAAGCCTTAAGTGCCCAAACAATATATTTTTTGTAGGTTTCTCTTTCCACGCGAGTCCCTGTGTCAGACCCTGCCCATAGCATCCTCTCCTCCAGGTTATTCTCCGCCAAAGCAACCACTAACATGCACGCCATCTCCTGCTTATGCAACAAGTGCTGATCCAAACATGGATAGTCCTCTGTATCTGTGAAAACAAATAGCGTTTGTTAGAAAGCAGTGTACAACATTGCACATGTAGATTTAAAATATAATACCTTGCGTAACGACTTACAATTCCGTAACATAGTAATGATCTCCAGAATGCATACTTTCATCACTGGCGACAGCAGAGTCGGTTCCTTCATGTGTTTCATGTCCATCCTCTTCATGAATAGTTGGACCTCCTTGCTCTGTTGATATTGTACAGATATTTTCCAGTACATCTCTTGTCTCCAGCGTTACAGTTTGAATTTCGTTTGTGACATTACTCTGTCCATCAACTGCCATCATGTGATTTCCTCCACCCTGCATATCTCCCTTGGCCTTGGCATACTGTAGTATCCTCTGAAGCACATACAGCCTGTATTTCTCTACGTGACAGTTCCTCATGATGCTTGGAGACGTCTCCGACAAAATTGCATCAGCAGCCTGAGAATATGAAGGTTAGAAATGAAAAGGTATCTTTCATACGTGGTTTTTGAGACACATGTTGCCTTTCATATCAAAAACATAGCTTCAAACCAACCTACCATCAGAACGAATATCCCACAGCTGTGTCCATCAGACTGTTCTATCACTGGGTACTGTTTCTTCATCCATGACTTGCTCCATTCCTTAGACGTAGATTTCAAGTGGTTTACAAAGAGCCTGAGGAATACATGTATATTACTCGATGGCAATAACATCTTCAACTCATGTGGACTGGTGTTAAAGTAAAAGTAGAGCAGAAGGTAAATACAGCAGTGTCTAAAATATCCGGTCCTTGCATTTCTGATATTCTCTCCTGCTTTGTCCACCATTAGGTTTAATGTTAGCAAATACAGATGTTATGGTTGAAATGAATCAGTGACATAACTGTATTTATGGCGTTATAATCATTCACACAGTGTACCCATCTGGGGAACTGAGTAACCCTGTGAACAAGTTGTTCTATATCTTCTACCCAAAAGTAAAAGCTACAAATGTGAGTGTATCGAGAATTTTTCGATGGGTCTTATTTACATTCATGTTTGTTTTTGACAAATCAACATTTCAACATTTCAAATTGGATAGCTTGGTTTTAACATTTATAATGTGCAGCCACACGTCCTCTTTGTTTTTTGTATCTACCTCTAGTGTTGTACGAATGGGTCTTCTACATCTAAGGCGGGTTTAGAATTGACCACGCCCACTGTTCTGTCCACCTACCTCCAGTGTTCTACAACTTTGTCCTCCACATCTAAGGAGGGTTTAGAATTAACCACGCCCACTGTTCCATCCTTGACATTAGCCACCAGTAGCACCCAATGTTGATTACGTGGCATGTTCACTGGCATTAAGATCCACGTGTAGTTTGTCAAATTTTCCTGAAAGTTCACAACAAATGCCTTTCCGGTGTATGATCAATATATCAAGAAACACGTGCTTCACATAAGATGGATATGATGCAGTAACAGAGATATTAGTGAATTGGTATCATGAACTTGGAACTTAGAACTTCTAAAGACCTCTCTCTGACAACCAGATTTTCACTTCGTAAAATAATATGTAGCAAGACGAATATGTTCATGTGCAATATCTGCTTTTGTAACTGCATATTGAAAACGAATAGCATTATGATCAATGGGGTTACTGGCTTTGACTCAATTGAAACCCATTGCAGCATATGGTCGCTTCGTGCGCACAATTGCAAGTGACAACTTCTAGCATACTGAATACGCAATCATGGCATAGACGAATCATATGTTATCACAAAAAATATACAACTACTGCAAAATATATTTCGAGTCTTGCCCTTGTTCATGGTATGGTGGACATGCAATAGTACACTCGGAATGAAAGAATTATAAGAAATATAAAAATCTCACGTCACTCACATCTTTCCCCCTTATTCTGTCTGTGTACTGTCCTGCCTCCCACAGTAGGATTGTCTCTGTAGGCAGCACCAGACAGTGGAAGCTGACACGGGAACACCACTCTCCCTCCAGGAGGTGCAGGTATGTGTCCATGATCTGGACAGGAAAGAGTTCATTTATTAGAATGTTTATTATACTGTTTAATCGCCCAATGCGTTTGCTTCAAAAGGAACGCTTGTAATTTCAAATCAAAGCAGGATCCGCTGCACATCACATATTTATCATGAAGAGAATATATCGGCTGTTAGCAATGACTGACAATTTGACTGGTGATGTACTAGATTTTGTGTACAATGCCCATTGCAGGTGAGTAGTGTTATCATTGCAGAATCGAGATGCATGGCAATGAGTTGATAATAAGCACCATTATATGAATTGATAGTTAACTAATACTGGTGTAAAAAGAAGAAACCGCCAAAAGTTACTGTATTAATCTTAAGATGGGGTCTCAGTGGTCCAAGGCGCCGCATTTCGCTATGCAGATTCACCATGGGAATCAACAAAGTGGTTAACGTCAAAGATGTGCATCACTTTCTTCAGAATTTAATCAAACTCACCATGACACTACTGTCAAAAAGAGGCGTTTAACCAAACTCAAGCTCAAGCTCCCCTACCTCAAGGCACTATCAATGAGTATTAGGTGACTGAACCACTCACCACCCTCACGCCCCCAGTTAATATCTAATACTGACATCATTTGATGAAATCGAAAGCCTCTCATGCTCTATGAAATGATTTTCTTGGATGGTTAACTAGGCACGTAGTTTGTGTGATTGTGCAAATATTGCAGGTGGACAACTTACTTCATCTGTCAGCCACTCGTTGGTTTCCAGGCGAGACAGAACATCTCCTCTGATGGTGTAGCAGCCAACTGTGTATGTACATTCACGTGACAGGGGGACGTCCTCTTGTACATGCTGCAGGTGTGAAGGAGGATCCTTCAGTGTTTTCACAAAGTCCTGTACTTCAGTCCTGGTATGGCATGCTCCAACAAGTACTGCTGCGATGAGGTTTATGTAAACTGACCGGTCTTGGTTCCAGCTCAGACCGTCAGTATTAACAGCACATTTAACCAAGTTCCTTGCTTTTATTGAATCTAGATTCCAGTTTTTGTCAACCTCTTCAATGAGTGAGAAGCACGGATTGCCTTTGTTGGTACAGTCCTTGTTCCAGCACCTAGATAATGCTAGGACTTGTTGCACGACCTTTATCACATCACGATTTCTTTCTACTTCTTCTAGAAAAGTGTACAGATAAGAATAGTGTGTGTTATTGACAAAGGTTAAAACTGTGTTGTCATTTTCAACTTGAGGGTGCAAACGAGGTTTCTTGACAGGGGAGCCTGACGTTGTACCCAAATATTCAATGTCATCATCACTTCTATGATCTCCTGTCCTGCAGCGTTTCTGATTTGTGTCGTGATCATTCTTTGTTTCAGTCTCTGACACCTTTGCTCCATTCAATGTTACACCTAGAATACTGTTTGATTTACCATTGTCTTCCAATTCTGTCGGTGATGAATGATCTTCAGGGTCCAGGTTGGAGTTAGTGTTCTCCGTGACACCTGACTGCACAGCTCCACCAGTTGATTCTACTTTCCTACATTTACTGTCACCTGAGGTATTAACTGTCTGTTGGCCACGCTTCTTGCGTTGGGGAGCAGGCTGTGCTTGTGTGTGGTCCCCGATATATTGCATTAGAACGTGTTTCAGAGGCTGGTTGTACAGATACGATGCTTCTCTGACAAAGGCCCTTGTTGTTGTCTTGTCCTCGGTGTTAGCCTTGTGGTACTGCTTCACTATGACTGGACTTGAGCCAGGCTGCTTCCGAGTTCCATCACTTCTGAAGTGATATTTGTCATCCTTCCAGATATCTGCAAATAGAAATTAATATCATAACATTGCAAACAATGTTGTAATCCTGAAGATGAACTATCCCCCAAAATTCTTTGTGTGTTAGTGTGTCACCTGTGATGTAGATGTTAATTAATAAAACTGTGAACAGTCAATAGTGCAACATAACTCTAAAATCAACCCACCTTAATGCCAAATCAGCTGTAAGGTCATGCATAAATATGTTGTATTAGAGGTTGTGATGATAAATACCATGTCCTTTTCTCCTTCCCTGAGATGCAACACGATACTTGATTCTTGTTTAGCCCATATTGATTAATCCAACAATGGATTTTCTATAAGTTGACATCAAACAATGTTCATTATTTAAGTACACAATTGTTGTAAAGGGGATGGAAAGAGTGAAAAGAAAAACAAAGATAGAACATTTTGCAAAAGAAGTCGTTTTAAACAATGATATAGACAAATAAACTTAATTCACGTAGTCACTTATTGCATGACAATCACTTGTCAACAATATTAACGAACATAAAATCTGTTATCACAGGGCTGTACAAGGAAGCTGATACCAGGGCAGGGTGACCCCGACGTCAAGCAGACTATTACTAATAACGTACATGTATATGAATGTGGCTTTTGAGGACATTGGTCATGTGTGCATAACAAACCCTTTGAATTCAAATTGTTTAATAAATAATAACAGCTTTCCATGAAATATTAACATTGTTCATATGTATTAATCCCTTACCCGCGGTATATTGAGCCTGAACACAACTGCCTCACCTTCTCTCATTCCCGAGGTTATCTTATAGAGGTACACCTCCCCTCCCTGGGGTGTGACGGGGGCAGTCTGGATGGTATTGCTCTCATCTGGACTCCTCAGAATGTTAACAATCTCCTCCACTTTAAGGGCTGAGGTTCTCCCTGTCAGGTAAGGCTCGGGTGGTTTCGGATTAGGCGCCATTTTGTAAAGTTATTAATAGACCCATGAGTCACACAGCCGTGATAAATAATCAGTTGTTCATTTGAACCTATAGATGACAAAAGGTTATATGCTGAACTACACCCAAGCATGAATATTCATTATGTACCCTGTATTTGTCTACGCATCAGTGTTGGTCTTGTTATAACGCCTCAGGGCTTCATAAACGTCTCTCCTTGTACCGCATGGGACGTTCTGTTATTGGTTTGTTGTTCTGTGTGTGGCTTGCGGGGAAAATAAAGCGAGTCTGTCCGGAGAGCGGAAAATAGGTGGTTCGAGCCCCGGCCGCGTTTTACCAAACGACGTTAAATGATGATATTTGTTATTACCCTGCATTATTTCTGCAGTACACTGTGTGACCATATTTCAAGATGAGCATTGTACATGTCCGAGTAACAATCCAAAAAAGCGTCAGTCTTCGTGATCAGGTGAATCCACTTAATATACATACTTTATTGTGGTTTCAAATCAGGTCTTGATCAAAATATAACATAATATTACAAATTACAATATTGTTGTCTGGCGACATGAGTAGAGAAATGTTACTCAGTTAGAAACCTATTGTTTTCAAAGGTTTCTGATATTGTAACAATGACCTCTGTTGATCTTTATTGCCTGGTTCAACCTTTGCTCACTGAGAGAATGAGTGAGTGAGTATGGTTTTACGCCGCTTTTAGCAATATTCCAGCAATATCACGGCGGGGGACACCAGAAATTGGCTTCACACATTGTACTCCTCGTCGCCGAGGATGTTTTTTTAACAATTTTCATAATAACCTGTACCCCAACTTACACAGATAATTATAATTAATAATGTCTTCCTCCATTGAAGTATCCCAGCATTGTCATTGTTCTCATGTTGAAATTTGGTTGATCTGAGTTTGCTTACTTGAAAAACATTGTATCAACATTGTTTCAACTCCGTTCGATATTGATATCATCCATAACAATTTTGTCTGAGATATTGAAATGGTTTCAATCTGACTTTCAAAAATGAAAAGTAAACTAAAAATCAATATTTCATAAAAAAAAATCACAGGTTGTTTATGAAATATGTGTTTTTGTTGTTAGTTGGAGTCAATATATTTAGACTCAAGACGTTTTAGACCAAACGATAATGATTAAGTAAGACTCGGAAGGGAAAGACTAGTGAAGTTGAATGAAGCCAAGCCAAATTTAGCTGTACCAGATGATTCTGCACCCATGTGGCGCTCGGCATTAAGGGGCTAAAACAAGGACTGGTCGGCTCGGAGTCAGTAAACTGTGTCCTCACCTCACCTTAAGGCAAATTACCAGATGATTCTGCACCCAGATTCTTCAAGACAAGACATGTGCCATATCCGCTCCAGGAGGATGTTGAAGCTGATCTGGATAGACTTTGAACAGTCGAGTATCATATCCAAGCTTTGATCTCAGTGATTTGGACGCACCCATCGTTCCCATCGTTAAAACATGACCAGGTCAGACAATGTGGATACTTTAAGATCACTGAAAACCCAGTGCTGCTGACGCATTCAATGCGAAAGGTAGACGTTATTTCACGAAGTAAGACCTGAAGGGAAAGAAACTTGGGTTTAAGGTCACGTCTAAGTTTAGTACACTTATATAGCGACGTGCACGTGCCTTCCGCTCTCCGGATGGATGCTCTATCACTAGACCACAGAGGCGGTTTAGTGATAGAGCCGTGTGGCAGAAGTATTGTTTTGAGTGCAGCGTTAGGTGAGTAGGAGGTTATATAGATACAGCAGGGCATGTTTACCCTTTCGTGAGGACCTGGTGTCATACCTGATTGATTTTGTCTCTGATCATATGAACAATTTTACATTTACAGGCTGTGGAACCTGTTTCGCCACATAATAGAGACTGAATATTCTCTGGCTCAGACGATTTGAATTAAAAGGTAAGAGGGTAAATAGAGGTGGGTGACAGGGTGGACAGGGTTGACCAGATGGATGTAGATCTCGTTCGTTCGTTCGTTTGTTGTTTAACGCCACACTCAGCAATATTCCAGCTTTATAACGGCGGTCTGTAAACAATCGCGTTATGTAGCCAAGTATCTACATGTACGCAGTTTACACTTGGGAAACACTAAAACGTTGAAATAGCGAGTAACCATACTGGATTCAATGAGTTTCCTGGACATAATATGCAGCAGTAGTGTCTTAGCTGAACCGTAAACAGTATTGCAATCAATTATTTTCTTGTGGATGTTTACTTCTTTGAGTCAGTTGTTAAATGTCATTTTCACCTTCCCACACACAATGACATGCAGCCCTAAATACTCTAAGCACGTTTTCGCCCACTAAATGATATTGCGAAATGAATTAAATGCCATGTGCAGTACCTGATAATCTTATCAGTTACACCTCCCCCTGGAAGAATACTGTATGCACACTGCTGTCACATACATTAACCAAACAACATAGCTGCCGGAAAGGTTCAGCTTAATATTGTCCACATATGACGCCTTTACATTGTGTATGGCTTCGCAGGCCCCGTTTCACAAAGCGATCTTAGCGCTACGACTGTCGTAGGTCTATGCTCAAGTGTGGGAGTTACGGTCGTCCTGGTGCTACGATCGCTTTGTATGAATGACGGGTGCTACCGGTAGGACAGGACATGTGCACCCTTTCCGCGAACACCTGGTGTCATCATTGATTTTCAATGGTACAGTCATATATTTATTCTCATGCATTGAAAATTATATATTGTGGAACGGAACCCTACCTTCGATCTTAAACTCAATCGGTGTCATAGTGTACGAAAACCACTTGAGTGTGACATCATAACTCCAACGAACCTTTTGCCAGTCACTGCTACAATGTATATACGCCGGTATGTGCATCCATGTAGCGACATATATTTATAGCCTTGCAAGGTTGACGTTTGTCGGATTTTCGGACCTAGATCGGTTCAAACACTGTACCGTGGTTGTCAAAGGGGCATGTGCAGTTCGTGATCAGGTGTTACGTATTAGTTTCATCAAGGCACGTCTGTAAGCCAAATCCTCACCTGCACCGGAGTCATCAACTCCTCAATTAATTGTTGGGTTGCAGATACAAACAACTGGAACAGACAGACAGACAATGTCCTTTCCTCTATAGCTAAGGCTGTTATATGCCTTTAATAGAGCTTTGACTGCTCCAAATTAACTATCGACTGTTGAGTATGTTTGCATTGAAAAAAAACACCTTATTTATTCTGTATTAGAATAGTATCGTTATGCGTACGGGTGTGTTTTTCCTCATTATCTTATTTGATACATTTTACATCATAAATTTATTCCTGATTTCAAATACAAACTTTTGAAAAATGTGCCATGGCCTGTAATGTAATCCCCACTAAACTTCCTTTACATGAAGGGCGATAACACAGCAAGACACCATACACTGGGCTCGTATATATATCTATTACACAGCGCTAGGCTGAAAAGACTGCCAGGTCACATCACCACAATCTCTGATGACTCTTACATCATTTGAGGCCTACATTCTGTGTATTGGAAACTCGAATTTGATACTATTTGTACACTATTGGTTCGATCGTATTAGTTGTGCGACAGGGACTATCCCTATTTATGGGCCGCTATTTATAGACAGGCGGACGATATCTCTCCTGGCGAAGTCAAGTGTGTAGTGAATGAATATGTCAATACCTGGCACACGTTCTGTCGGATTTTTCGGATGATAAGAAACGTGTGCTGAGAACAACAGGCAATTATCCCGCGATATGCCAAGGAGAGGCACGGGCCACCGAGCCGTGGGTTCCCGTGCCTATAATAAAAACAGAAGATGAGGTTGGGTTAAATGGCCGAGGGTGTGCAGGTACTAGTGGGCTACTTAGCTGCTAATTGTGTACACCAAAAAGCAGCTAGCGCTGCTGGCCTGGGACTGCTACCGCTGTCCGGCCCCCACGGTAGCATATTTAAACGCTACCATTGCTTGGCAACACCCACGCTGCCAAAAGCAGCTCCACGCTGCTGGCCTAAGTCAGACTACCGCTGCCCGGCCCCAGGTAGCCGGCCAAAGCAGATCACACTGCCCGGCCCCATTAGCAAAACAACCGCCGGGCCCATATACGGGGCAATTGTTTGCCCCAACGTATGTTATTTTACGATTCCCCGGCTGAAAAGTCGGGAAAGACAAGGTTCCCACTGAGAAGCAGGTAACCCCAGAAAGATTCCCGCTGAAAAGCAGGTAGCCTTAAGCACGAGTATTAATTTGGAAGCAAGTTAATTTGTTACTAGCAGTGTAGCCCACAAGAACCCCGCAACAAAGCCCCCGAGTGCTACCCCACACCCACGGCCACGCGATGCGCGGAGATAGCATTGTTGCCCGGCTTGCCTATGTACTGAAAGGAAACACTAACCTGTGGAGATAATATCTTTACTGGCGCAAAACGAGCGCCAGGGCATGCAATAAATTGTCCGTAAACACACACAGGCCTTTGTCGCTGAGGTGGACGCCCTCCCAGGCGTACCATGTCTTGTCTTTGACTCGGTTGGCCTGTCGGCGGTTGATATTCTTCCGCATCCCCTCGATCTTTAGTGGGTCCCTGGCATCGTGCCAGTAGCGCCTGGGCAGCATTGAGGATACGATGATCCTGGTGTCAGGAAGCTGGAGTTGTATCCGAAGGATTGATGCCACCATGTCAAGGTAGAGTTGGCTGCCCTTGACCGAGCACAGGTCGTTGGAGCCCAGGTGAATGATGAGGGCTCTGGGGCTGCGCCGTGGCGGCTTCCTGCCTCAGATCAGCCATATGTTGCACGGGATAGGTGTGGGGTTCTGGTCCGCGGCTGGTGCTGCCTCTCGGAAGCGTTTGAGCTGAAACCTCGAGAGAGCATCGGCAATAGTGTTAGCAGTGGAACATACATACTTCGCCTTAAACATAATATTAAATCGGAGACACTGCAGGATTAGGCGACGGAGTAGGCTCATCACTCTGGGGGCCTTGGTTGACTGCTTGTTGATTATTGTAAAAGAGGACC